ATTTTCTTATTATTCGGTTTGACTGCGATGTATTTTTTCTCCAGACTAACTGGTGAGTTTTTCTAGAATTTTAATTTAAGACAAGGATGTAACTCTTAATTACGTTACAGATTTGGACCTTTTAGTCTCACTAAGTTTTTGTCAAATTGAAACAGTAAACTCACCATGTTAAGGGAAAATATATATTTTTGATATTAATATTATACCACTGAGGATAGCTTGGACAGGAGCCGAAACGTTTGGAATTTTGTAATTCGAGGAATAAATCACATTTATATCTGAACGCACCGTGATCCGCGTTGTGACCCTTACAGCCTTTTCTACTTATATTTTTATTTCGAGGGTTTTTATATCACACTTATAATTTATATATAAGTTATTAAAAAATAAAAAAAATTTATATATATATTTTTTTTATTTTTATTTTAAATCCTTTTCTTACCAATACATTCTATATATACAAGGTGTTATCCGAAAACGATTTGTATTTTTTTTTTTTAACGTGGAGAAATTTTCGCCTGCCGGGTTCCCGGACCCGAAATCCCGGTATGTGGCCCCCTCTGGTGGCTGAGGGGGAAGACTCCCTCACCCTCCTGGGAGAGGATGAGGAAAGTGTGGGATTTCTACCCACTAAAACTCCACAGGTGTCCGTCCCTGCGCCGTTCTTGGAAGACGCCTGGGAACTCTTTACAATTACTGCCTGGCGCCTTCCGGCGCTTGGCCCAGACTGGGCCTCCTCCTTTGAGCCCGGAACTCGGGACTCTTGGACGAGTTGACTTGTCCCTGTGCGGCGGGGATGTGGACACCACCCATCCCCGCCGCCGTCCTCTCCCCTTTGTGGGAGAGGCGTGGCTCGACGCTCGGAATCTCAGCCGAGTGCCGAGCCTTCTCCCCCGGGTCTCCCCCCGTCGGAGGAGATCCCGGAGGTGCTGCGCTCGCTCTTGCCGTGGGTGAATCACGGCCGTTGGGCCGGGTTTTTCGTGCCGGTGACTCGCGGGGGGGGGGAGCGACGGGTTTGCGAAGCCCTCGCGCCCCGCGATCTCTGTCGATCGACCGGCGGCGGGGGAACAAACGAGCTTTAGAAGGCTTGCGCGCCCCGCTCACCGATCTATTGCGAGAGGTCCGCCGGAGGAGGAGAGCCTCCCCCCGACGAATCTTCTCGGCCTCCTCTTTGGCGGACATTACCTGGCCACAGAAGGCCAGGAATGCCCGCCACCTCGTTTCGCGTCCGACCATTGCCGCCACAATGGCCGGAAGGGAGAGGTCGTCTCCGACCTCCTCCCTGAGGACACGGCGCGGCTCGTCCCACGCCGGACAGTGCTTCAGCGTGTGCTGCGCCGTGTCCTCCACCTCGTCAAAATGGTGGCACTTAGTGGTGGCCTCCTTTCCGATTCGGTGCAGGTACTTCCCGAAGCAGCCGTGCCCGGTCAGCACCTGCACCGAGTGATACGACAACCCGAGATTTCCCCCCCTGCCCAGCCAGTCCGGCAGGCAGGGGCGGATGGCCTCGACGGCCCTCCGTCCCCACTCCAAGGTGGTCAGATACTCCTGCCACCTCTCTGTGAGGGCCGCCGCCTCCCGGAGCTTTATCAGCCTGCGCGCCCTGCCGGGGATCGGCGCCCCCCGGCTCTCAGCTCAACGACGCGCCTGTGCACCTCGGCGCGTTGCCTCGCGGCGAGCTCCAGCGGGGGGAGCCCCGACAGGAGCGTCGCCGCGTTGTGCGAGACCGTGCGATAGCACCGCGACACCCGCAGGGCCACCGCGCGCTGAACCTGGCGCAGTTGCCTCCTGATGCGCGCGGTGCCCTCCGCCCCGTTCGCCCAGATTAGGGCGCCGTACAGCACCACGGCCTGCACGACTGCGGCGTAGAGTCGACGAGCACGACCGCTCGCCCCTCCCAGGTTCGGCATCAGCCTCGCCAGGCTGTTCGCTACTCCAAGCGCCCTGGGAGTCAGGCGGGCGAAGTGCTCGCCGAAGCTCCCGGTGCCATCCAGTTGGGGACCCAGCACCTTCATGCTGATTCCCAAGCAAGGGGACTCGGGTTCCCTCCACGTTGATGTAGACCTTGGGCGGCTTCCCCATCCTGCGGTCGTGGAAAAAAACCGCTTGGGTCTTTTGGGGAGCCACCCTCAGGCCCACCCTCCTTATCTCGGCCACCACCTTGGCCACCGCGACGTTCCCTATCTTACGGCCTCTTCCCATGTGTCGGCCTCTACTCCCAGGAAAGTGTCGTCCGCGAATCCGCTGAGCCAACACCCCGGGGGGAGGGCGGCACGCAAGCCGCGTCGTAGCCGAGGTCCCACAGGAGCGGCCCCAACACCGACCTCTGCGGGACCCTCCGCACGATCAGCCTTACTCTCACTACACCGTTCTTGTCGGTGTAGGCCAATCTCCTGTCCCGAAGATAATCGTACAGCACGGCCACCAGGTATTTGGGCACCCCGTGATACAGGAGCGCCCCCCTGATGACCGGCTACGGCAGGGTGTTGCACGCGTTTGCGATGTCAAAGGACACTCCCAGTAACACCCTGCCGTCCAACGCGGCGGCCTCCGAGAGGGCACGGATGCGCTTTATCGCGTCAACCGTCGACTTGCCCTCCCGGAAGCCGTACTGGTTTGGCGACAAGTCCGGACCAGTCCGGGACAGGTGCCGGACGAGTCGGCTGGCTATTATCCTTTCGAACAGTTTGCCGACTTCGTCCAGCAGACAGATTGGCCTGTACCCCGAAGGCTGATCGGCGGGTTTGCCGGCCTTTGGGAGGAGGACCAGTTTGGCCGTCTTTCAGGCTTTGGGGAAGCGGCCCTCCCTGAGACACTTGGTGTACAGGTTCCTCAAGTGCTCCGCCGCTTCCCCGGTGGCCAAGGCCCACGCCCTGCCATGGATCCCGTCTGGTCCGGGAGCCTTACCGGCCTGCAGCTTCTTTGCTGCGGTCTTCATCTCCTCCATCGTGACCTCGAGTTCCTCGCTCCACTCCCCCTCAGGGGGGGGCGGACCACCGTTCGCCCTCTCCCCGGGGTCATCCGGGAAGAGGGTGTTCCCGGTGTTCACCACTTCTTCGAGGAACGCGGGGTCCAGCACTTCCGTCGTTGGAGGCGCCCAGGTCCTCAGCTTGCCGAGGACCATCTTGTAGGGGCGCCCCCAAGGCTCCTGGTGAATCTCCTCCAGCTGCTCCTTCCAGGCGCGGTCCTTGGCCACCTTGATAACCCGGGAGAGGGCCCGCTTGGCGGAGCGGTAACCCTCCCCCACCTCTTCGAGGCGCTGTGGATCGCGCCTGCGTCTCGCGCGTAGCCAGAGACGTCTGGCGTGGACGGAGGAGCGCCTGAGCTCGGCGATCTCCTCCGTTTACCAGTACGCGTGCCTCCTAAGGTGGGGCCTGGATCGGGGCATCGACGCGTCGCACGCGTCGGTCATGGTGTTCCCGATCCAAGCCGCGGCCTCATCGACATCCTCCGGTATCTCGAACGAATTGTCCGTCCAGAGGGAAACGCGCAGTGAGACCCTCAACAGGTCTGCGTCCAACTTGCGCAGAGCCCACCTCGGAAAACGCTGATCCAATTCCCGACGGCGAGCCCGGACCTCCGGAGTGGTGACCGGGAGACTCATCTCGATCCACTGGTGATCCGACAGTGTCTCGAGCCCCTCGGTCACCCTCCACCCTCGTATGCGGTGCGCGACGGGAGGGCTGGCCCACGTGAGGTCTACGATAGACCCCCCCTTTGCTGCACACAAATCTGGACCCCCCCGGTGTTCATACACACCAGGCCCAGGCTCGCCGTCTAATCCATGAGGATCCTTTCTCTCCCGTTGGTGGCCGGGAAACCCCACAGTGCCGACTTGGCATTGAAGTCCCCGGCCACCAATACCTGCTGGCCCGGCAAGTATTTGTCCAGGCAATCTTCCAGGCTGTCGAGTGTCCTCTCGTAGTGAGGCAGGTCGCGCGCGGGGGAGATGTAAACCCCGGCGATCACGACCTGTCTCCACCTGACCGAACCCGCCCCCCGCCTCGAGACAAAAACAGGGAACGGACTCGTCTGTCATTCGCCAAGTGATGGCAGCACCGCCGCACCGGCTCACCGCCCAGCATGGGTGACCAGGCGACACCCGATACGGCTCGGCTATGACCCCCAGGCCACTGCCGCGCTCCGCCATAGTGTGCAGAAACACGTCCTGCGAAGCGCGGTAGTGGTTCAAATTGCCCTGGAGGATTTTGTAGGCCATTAACGCTGGTCCGTGTTAAGGGCCTCCACCCCTTTTTGATTCGCCTGCTCGTAGGCAGGCAGGGCTGACGACGACGGCCCTGTCTCCTCGTGATTCGTCACTGGCTCCGTCGACGACCCATCAACGTGGACGAAAACCTCTTCTCGGGGTGGCTGTTCGCCTTGCGGCGGCTGGCCTTGTTCCGGCGGTACTGCCGTCGTCACCTCCTCCTTCTTACGCCTTTGGGCTATTGGCCTCAGGTCGTAATCTTGGGCAACACCGCGATTCTCCGATTTCCCTGCTGTATCGTCTTGAGCCGCTCTTTTGACGGAGGCTTTATTTGGGATTGCGATCTCCTCGATGCTCCTGATAACCAGAGCGTTGGTGGGAGGTGCGGGAAGCACCTTTACCTCCATCTTTTCCCCGCCTTTGTCTTTCGTGGGCTGGAGGTTCGCCCCTTTACCGGA